TCCTATATGTAAAGTTTAATACAGAAAACATTTTTATAAGGTAAACACCTCAGATAGTCTGTGTTCAAGAAAATATTTCAGCCACATCTTTCTCTCTGCACCCATCTTCACTACCTGTTGTGCCACTGCTGCCAATGGAAATGACAACATCAATTATAGCTGGTTGATAATTGATAAGTATAGAGACTAGAACAGTTTGTGTGATGTGACTCAGATGTGATTCTCATGAACTTTTGTTGCTCTTTTATCAAAGAGAAAATGAAAGACCAGAATTGGCCTGAATCTAATGATTACTGCAGTCTGCAATCCAGCATTTCAGGATAGTTGCACTCTCTTTCCCAAGCCACCCTAACACCTGCTTCCTTTTCCCCATTAATATAAAGTTTTCTCCCTGCAGCAGCCAAAGGTTAATTGGAAATTTTATCCATGCAAAGTAAGTGCACAGGCCTTTTGTTTTTCTCTTAAGAATACTGCAGACTATGTTTGTTTAGAATTTATTCTCTGATGGCAATTGTTAAGTTATTCATTTTAATGGGTGTTTTATAACTTTAAAAGGAAAATTGTTTCCAGGGAAGAGACATGCCTCTAAAATAGAAATCAGGTATCCAGGGAGAAGAACCACCTGACAAAACACTTTGGACAACCCATCATAGCATTCAGACACACAGTTCTAGGAGAGAAATAAGAAAGCATTTCTTTGGCCAAATGTGATCTGTACCATCCTGGTTTTTCCCTCACATGCTGTGAGAGACATTTATTCTCTTCACTATTCAATTATTTTGCCAAGGAGATGTGGGAATTAAAGTAGTGGCAATCATGATAACATGTGTGTTAAGCATAAAATACTTTGCACTAAGCAGAGAGTTGCCAGCTGTATTTTCAACTTGGGTTTACATACGGAAAACATTGTTACTATTTCCTTCAATGTCTTCAGTTTTTAATAGCTCCTATTCCATCTAATTTTTAAGCTGTAAATACACTATAGTGCTTGAAAAGGAAATCCAAGTGGTCCTAATGCCAGAGGCTGGAATCAGTTTGTTTACCAGCAAAATTCATCTTCAGTTTACCTGTATCTGAATGCTTGATTATATGTACCTAATTCCAATCATAACTTAGCCCACAATTTTAGACTAAAAGAACCCAATGTGTACATCAATTTGTTTGTCTCATGTGGTTTAGGAAAAAAAAAAAAATCTCTGAGCAGGCATTTAAATATCAAGAGATCCCACAATCTTTATTTGGGCTTCTCTTCATAAATAAAATATATTAAGATGCTTTCTCATTCCTGACTAGGACCCTGGACAAGTCATGCATACTTACACTCTACTCTTTGTCCAAGACCTCCTGAACACCTGTGGTTTTTGCTTACTATTACTGGATATTTAATCTACTGAAATATTTTAGTCCATTTTTTTTCTCTGTAGAAAATTGAGTCTAAATTTAAAATGGCCTTTCTAATGCAGTCTGAGCCAAAAGCTATAATTCATTTTAAAGTGATTTGGGGGCAGGCTTAGAAGTGTGAAGGCAGTAGGGCAAACATTTATTTAATTTCTTATACTACTATAGAAATGATAACAACTAACAAACATTAAATACTTATTCTATGACAGGTACTGAGGTTTATATACATTATCTCATGTAATTCTCATAACAGTCCTTAAAGTATGTGCTAAATGCTATTAATAGTTTAACAGCAATAACAAAAATCTCTACACCTCAGAGGAGTTCTGTGCACTGCCTAAGATAAGGGGCTGACCTAGGACCACCTTCTCTATAAAATTCACTTTTCATCACACACTCTCTTACTCCATCTTACCTTGAATAACATTCTAAACTATTTAAAAATATATCTTTAGGCCTGGTACATGCCTATTATTCCAGCACTTTGGGAGGCTGAGGCAGGTGGATCACTTGAGTCCAGGAGTTCAAGACCAGCCTGACCAACATGACAAAACCCCATCTCTACTAAAAATACAAAAATTAGGTGAAACCCCATCTCTTAATGCATGCCTGTCATCTTAGCTACTTGGGAGGCTGAGACAGGAGAATCACTTGAACTCCAGGGTCAGAGGTTATGATAAGCTGAGATCACACCACTGCTCTTCAGCCTGGGCCACAGAGTAAGACACTGTTAATAAATAAATGTTTAATTATTTTTAATGTAAGTTATTAAAAACATAAAGCTACATAAAATACATATTTATATAAATAATCATTTGTCTTTATACTTAATAAAATTCTCCAGGAACTCTCTGCTTCTCCTCACTCCTTTTGGGTCACAGAGGGTCCTCGTTTTATGAATGGTCCATCAAAGGGGTCTGTGTGAAGTAGCATTCTTTCCTAGTATTTTCCTTTTTTTTTTTTTTTTTTTTTTTTGCCATTGTAAATGAATTATGTATGCACCCTGAAGTAATTAGCAAAGACGTCGTTGTTCAGCTGAATTTTAAACTAATTAATCTGACCTAATTCCTGTCAAAAATAATTAGGTTAAAATACGTCCTCCCTACGCAACTCTTTGAAGCTGAGACACTAAAGCACAGCACCTTCTGGGTAAGCACTGTTCTAACATTGAAGGGCCATTTATTTAACAGTTTTAGAGGAAATGCTAAAACGCTACCTTGTGAATTACCACCTGGGCATCGTCTCCTCCTCAGTTTCTATATTCCAATTAAAAAAAAAGAAGTTGAATTAATGATGGGACTGTAACATGAGTGGTCTCAGAGAGCCCTGTATATCACTTGGTTTGCAATTAAAACAAAAACTGGTTGATTTCTCCTTCACATTCTTTTTTTTTTTTTTTTTTTTTTTTTGAGACAGAGTCTTGCTTTTGTCCCCCAGGCTAGAGTGTAGTGGGGTGACTTCATCTTTAGTAGCGATGAGGTTTCACCATGTCAGTCAGGCTGGTCTCGAACTCCTGACCTCAAGGTGATTTGCCCACCTCGGCTTCCCAAAGTGCTAGGATTACAGGCATGAGCCACTGCACCTAGCCCACTTTTCTCAATATAAAATTGATTAAGCTATCTTCTGTATCCCCATCCCTTAACTGCCTCAAATAAGCTTTTAAAATATCCTTAGTGATATGATGAATTGGGAAAATGTCTCATGTAATAACCAAGTGCTAAGCTGTATGTTTCTAGAAAAATAATTTAGGGAAAGGAAATAGGCAGGCTTTATCCATAGATGCAGGTTGTCAATAAGTTGAGATGATCTCAGGTTGCAGCAACTGTGGAGGTTTGTATATGCTGGGGTTTGCCCAAAGCCTTCACTACTTCCCGGTCATTCTATAGCAGCCTCTTCTGCATGCCCCCAACCTTGCTCTCGGACATATTATGGGGCTCTTGGGAGAGGAGAGCACTGTGGAGTGTATATATCACATCCCCAAGCAGTTCAGAGTTAATAATTTCTTTATTAAACCTGTGAACCCTTCATGGTTTCTAGTCCTCCCTCCCCAACCCCCTTCCAAGTTAGTTTCTAGGCAACCAGTAAGCACTGAATTACATTAAGCTCTTTATTTCAAGGCTGCAGTTCAGAATTTTGCTGCATATTTGTTGGCTCATTTATAGAGACTGCGGTATAAAATTCATTAATTCTGTCTAATCTGCAGTACATCTGCAATTTGGTTAGAACCACATCACCTGTACCTGTATTTCATGTTTAAATCACTCCGTGTCATGATGCTCTTCTCTATGTAGCTTATGCCACAGATACTGTGAGCACCAATCTGAAATCACAGAAGCAAGAATTTCCACAATTTCTAGTTCTTGGTTATCATTCAGCCTCTTGGGATGGTCTTTTAGGAAAGTAAAAATTTCAAAAATCTCCATTCTTGAATGGTGGAAATCTCCAACAGCTGAATTTTAATAAGAAAGAACAGAAACATACTGTTCAGAAATAGTCTGAAATGCAGTAAGCATTTGCAAAATGGAGGATATTATTTGCATTAACAAATTGAAATTTTGGTGTGAAAGAGAAGGCCTTGGAAATATCCTTTTGTTGGTACAAATCAAGCAATTGAGGTTGTAATTTCAAATTTTACCAAGGACAGTATGAGAATGAAGATTAATCTTTCAGCAGAACTGTTCTGTTTTGAATGTTGAATGGTTTGAGAAATTGTCTTGAAAACTCTGAGCAAGCACCCTCTCTCTCTTTCTATGTGATATTTATAAAGGGATTTGGTAAGTCTCTAAGTGTACCATAATTGAGCAAAAATATAAATTAAATGTTAGTTTGTTCTCTAGTTTCTTAAAGCACAAAGCAACAATTTACATTGGCCACACTAAAATGGTGGCTTTCAGAAGATAAAGTAAAATCCTTATAAAATTCAAACTTGAATCTAATCTCCTTCCTTTCAGCTGCTTATAATGTAGCTGAGGGGTGTGGATGTGATGTATGAAACTATAGAAATAAATTAATTGAATGGTCTTGTGGCATAAAGAGCTATCTGTCCACTAGATTTGCATAGTAGAAAAGCCTTCTAGGAGACCCTGCCACCAAGGAGGAGTGGCCCAGATGAGATGAGACAGGGACTGCATCTCCCACTTGACTTTGCATCTAGAGATGCCACTTACAGGATTCACTTCGGTAAAATATGAGCAGAAGGGAGGTATGGCATTTCCAGGCCTGGCCTACAAGATCTTCTGTGTGATTTCCAATGTGCCTATCTCTCTATTTTTCTTTTATAATTTTTACATTCTTTTATTTCAATAGTTTTTGGAGTACAGGTGGTTTTTGCCTACATTGAAAAGTTCTTTTGCGGTGATTTCTGAGATTTTGGTGCACCTGTCACCTGAGCAGTGTACTCCCGTCTGTCTCTTTCTCTTCCTCCTCTGTCCATTGGATACCAGTAAGCCCTCAACCTGGGGAAAAGTGATGCTTTGTCAAAGCCTCCATCACCAGTCACTGCGTGGCCTCCGTTACCCGTGACTCTCTAGATCCCTGACAAAGCAACTATTGTTTATCACTGAGAATTTGGGTGTATCTGTTCCAACGGCGTATTTGACCTTGACTTACAGATGTGTCATGTATTAGTTACAAGACAGGATGACTTCAATCAGTAGAACAACAGATATTCTTGACTGTTTACTATGTGCCTTACAATGCAGATTCCAAGGACTCTGGTAACCAGACAAGAATGGCTTGATAAAGTAGCAGGAAAAAAACAGACACACTTCAAACTATTAACAATCATTTAACTCTATGCATGTAATGAAATGCAAAGTAGACATTTAGTCCGGATGGAGCATATAATATAGTAAGATTTAAACTACTCTGGGGTTGACAAATATTTTTATTCATTAATACTTAAGATTTCCAAATCTTTGTTTGGATGAAAATAAATCTGGATTTCATGTTATACGCAGAGAGCTGAGTCCAGAGTAGACTAACCAGTAGAACCAGTAGTTTAAATTGTTTCTTCCTGTCTTTCTCCAATGCCCAGGAATCAGGATGCAGCTACAGACCATTTCTTAAGTATTTTTTTTTTCCTTTGAAAAAAGAGGCTGGGCTTTGTGGCTTACATCTGTAATCACAGCCCTTTGTGAAGCCGAGGCAGGTGGATCATTTGAGGTTAGAAGGTCCAGATTAGCCTGGCCAACATGGTGAAACCTCATCTCTACTAAAAATAGAAAAATTAGCTGGGTGCGGTTGTGCACACCTGCAATCCCAGCTATGCAGGAGGCTGAGGCAGGAGAATTGCTTGAACCCAAGAGGCGGAGGTTGAAGTGAGCCAGGATTACGCCACTGCACTCCAGTCTGGGCAACAGAGTAAGACTTCATCTCAAAAGAAAGAAAAAATGGAAAGCATTTAGGAACCATTTTACTTAATCCTTCCTTTCATACATGAGGAGGATAAATGTATTTTCCAAGCTTATAATGCCTTCCATTTTAATATATGGAACATTTAGTGTGGGCCAAAAACTATGCTAGTTCCTATTTTTATTGTACAATTTAATATAAGTATAGATGAGTATACCATAAAAATATGTAGCTTAGTGATTTGTCCCCACCTCAAAATAAAAACACTCCTGTGATGCTACCTAAATTAAAAACAAAAAAACAAAAAACAAAAAACAAAAAACTGATAATTGTCTGCTCTTCAGAATTGCTAAACAGCCTAGCCCAATTCCAGCTACCTTTCTTCCCACCTACTACCCTTCCTTTTATGGTCATAAAAGAGTGTGTCTATAGTTTTACTACGCTAGCAGGCATCCAAAAATACTGAGCTTTATTATTTTTTGAAGTTTCAATAAATTGAATCTTTATAGTATATATTATTTTATGTCTGTCTTCATTCACTCAATTCTGCATTTATGATATTCATTTATGCTTGGGTCTTTCCCATTCTGTTTTATGAACATATCACAATATATTTCATTATATGTACAGTATACAATGTATCCAGTTTATTATTAATGATTTTTAGTTTTTTGTTATGAATAGCAGGATTCTACATAATCTTACACATGCTTATTGGCACTCAGGTGAATGTATGTACTTCCACTTCCTAATTTTTGGACTTTAGTATTATAGCAGGCATTCATGCTTCTGTACCATTGTTCAAAGTTATTTTCTTATTTTAAAAAGTTGGGAGGGGAGAGCTGGAATAACATAATAGAGCCAGATATACTACACTAGCCATCTGGTTACAGTGCCACAGACGTTTAGTTCAATGTTTAATAGATGAAATTGAGTTCCATACTGTATTCTTGAAACAAATGACTGGAGAAAACAGATCATCAGTATCCTCTTTGGAATGCCATTAAGCATTTCTAAAAATCTGATTAACCATGTTTAGCATGGGTAAGATGAGTGTGTTCTTGCTTGCAAGTTTGATTTTACTGTTTTTAATGAATTTATTCCGCGTTTTTTGGTCAAGCCAAGTTTTTTACACATCGTAGCATAAGCTGTTCCCTTTGCTTGGAATATTTTTATTTTAAAGACTTGAATGATTAGCTAATTTCTTATCATGATAGTTTTCACTCAGAAGTCTCCCTGGAGTATCTTACCTGTCCCAAGTGACTATTACATTACCCTTTATATTTGCTATTAGAGAATTTATCACTACATGTAGCTATCCTGTTTATGTTTTATTCATGTTAAATGTTTCCTGGGACTTCTTTTCTTGCCTTCCTGAAATATATGCACCAGGAATCTCATCTCTCTTTTTTTCAGCAAGCTCTCTCCAGTGTCTATAATAATACATGGCTTATAGTAGGTGCTCAATAAATGACTAATGGAAATGGAAGAAACAAAGGAGGGAGGGAAGAAGGGAGGGAGAAGGGTAAGAATGGAAAGAGGGAGGAAGAAAGGAAGAATAGAAGGGATATTTATGTATGCCAAGGAGCAAAGAGGCTGTCCATGTGATACAAAAATTTTATAATTCTATGTGATATGTATAAATGAAAGAAGATCTGTGCACTCAACTCTCATAACATGACTGCAAGCAATTCAGAATGTACCAAACCAGTAAAGGTTAGAAACAAGCAGGGGTCCCAATGTTTCCACACAGCGATGGAGACTGAAGGCAACAAGGAAAACCAAGACCTGGGAGAATGTGTGACCATCATGCCAATTTTCTGTGTGTCTCCATGCCGAGCTGTATAGACATGAATTGCTAAGTGCGTGACTCATGTGCATCTCAAAGAAAGAATCTGAGTCAAAAGCAACCTCAGGGTTACTAGCCATGGAAACAGAGGAGGGAGAGTGTAGTTATTAACACTGTTGTAAAAGAACAAAGAAAGGACAAAAAAGGAAGGAACTCAGTAAGCAGTGGTTCAGTATTCTCCCACATCCATTTGGAGGAAATTGGATGACGTCCAAAGTTTTAATGTGAGCAAAGTGAATGCATAACCCTGGGAGAGCTTGTCATCCTGGCAGGGTCTGTAAAATAGCTTATGTCTATCACTATTGTAATAACAGACACAAGGGGTCGATATTTAAAGGTTCAGTAAGAATGTATAGTAAGATACGTCTAGGAGTGGTCCTCAGAAAAATGCCAGAGTAATAAGTCATAAACTAGGTATAAATTCCAGGAGTTGACCACAGTGCTAGCAATAAAATAAATGCATATTTGACACACGAAGAGAAGAGAGGCAAGGACTCCCGTAGGTAGATTCAATAGGAATATAATATAATATCTGTAGTTATGGACAGTGAAAGTGTTTAAATATCTACAGTGTCAATTTGACAGGTATTAACCCTTTAATTGATAATGGGTTCTACTCATTTAGGTTGTTTCCTTCTCTCCCAAACATAGTAACTTTAAGTTTACTGTGTTAGCTGGTTCAGAAGGTGACTCATTTTACAGACAACTTGGCAAGAATATACAGTTAAGAAAGGAGAGGATGAACTGTGTCCTATAAATATCAAATTCCTTTTCTAAAGTCATTGCTGAGGAAATAGTGAAACAGAACAACCCAAGAAGTCCAGGAAAATTGCGTGGGAGAGTAGTCAATAGATTACAAAGGGAGACTATATGAGCATTTCTGAGCAAAAACGACAACAGGAACAATCGCAAAGTGACTCTGATGTGATGACTATGACACCTAATTGGAGCATAGAATCTAGCATGGGGAGCCACCTCTCATTGGCAAGAGCTCAGAGAGTGACAGTTGTGCTGAGTAATTTTGCTTGGCCATGAACTTAATACCTTCCTCTCCTTCCCCCAATTAAAAAACTTGCAAGATTGGACAAGGTAACAGAGGTAGATCACCGCCCTTCTAAAGCCAACTTAGCATTCTACAGTGTTTATACGTCAAATCCCGAGCACTGTGATATGGAAAGTGGAGTCCATTTTGCTACCTTGCAGAAGGAGCTTCAGCTTCCCATTGCTCTTACCTTGTGCTTCATATGATGAGAACCACCCAGATGGGTTATCCCGGAGGAACAAAGAGACCCAAAAGAGTGATATTGACACCCAACCCTGACCCACATCTGCCTTGAGAGCTGCCAAGTCCTTTGGGCCTTGAGGATGTTCCTTTTTCCCATTCATCCCAAAGAACAAAAGTGTGATCCTTTTAACTGGGTTCCTCTCAAGAATCCAGAGCGTATGATCTATTTAAAGTAGCACAGGAAATCCCCAACGCTAAAAAAAGAAGAGCCCGTCTCAGTGCAACCCTATAAAACTTTTATTATTTTCTAGTCTAGGGATCAAGGCAACATTGAATGAAAATTCTCAGTTCCTGCTTCACTTAGAGGTAGTTCAAGTCAAGGAATCACAGAATTTCAGAGCCAAAAGATATATCTCTGTATATCTACTGCAACATCCTCATGTTCCTGATGAGAATATCATGATCGATGGAGGAAACATGACATACATTTTGTTCCTTCATGCATTTATGCAACAAACATTTATTGAGCATCAACAACACATTGCCATGCATTTTATTAGGGGGTACCAATAAAATCGTCTCTAGGGCTTACTCTTGCCCTCAGGAATTTGCCATCAGTTTGACAGTTAGAACGAGTAAACTGAGAATGGCACCACTAGGCATTGCCAGAGCACCAAAGAGGACAGTGTGCACAGTGGTTAAGAATGCAGGCTGTGGATTGAGGTACTCTGAGTTCAAACACAGAACCACTCTTTGCATGTTGTGTGACCTTGGTCAATTGATTTCACTTCACTATGCTCCAATTCCCTTTTCATAAAATGTTGAGGACATTAGCATCTATTCCATAGGGTTCTTTGATGATTAAATGAGAAAATACATATAAATACCTAGTAAAGGTTTTCAGAATTTGTAACTGATTAATAAATGTAGTAGTAGCAGTATTATTATTATTAAAATAAAGACCTGGAAGTAAAACAAGAAGCTGCCCAACGTTGGAATGAATAGGACATGAAGATGTTAAGGTTCAAGAAGCATGTTCTGGCAAGGGGAATTAGGTTATTTTCTGATGTTCTCTACTTGGTTTTCTGGACTGTATTTCCGACTTTTTGTGGCTTTTTGAATGCCCAGTTTTTATCTTTGATCATAATTGCACTGTGCACACAACTCTAGAGGGTGCTTCTCATGGTCCTAAGATTTTATCTCATGTGTTATCCTAGATTTTTATCTCATGT